AATGCTTAATTTTGATACGGATTAATATTATTTTGCTGAAAAATTTGGCAAATAAGCAATTGAAAAATGTGCATTAATTTCGAAAAAATCGTTTACAATAAAATTTTTATACTGAGTCAGTCTTAAAAGAGAGACATTTTTTGTATTTATTTTAAGAGGAATACAGCTTCGTTCGCTGATTCAATCTGCGGAGGGAGCCTGTGAAGTAGGAGGCAGGTGTAACCTAGTCGCTTTCTCTCAGATGTACGACTGGTATTTGAGGACACACTTTCCTGTAAGCCCTTCCACCCACTGAAAAAAACGCTGTAATGGCGGCTTCGTTTTCTGGGACGCTCCGTTAGGCAGGGGCATCGTGGTGTATGCGAAACTGTTTTTATGGAAACTCTTAACAAACGAACGTTTTTATTGTAAATCACATAACTATTAATTATTGTTGATTGTATACGTACCACTTGCATATATTTTGTAAAATAACTTTTCAATATATGTACTATTCGCATACAAATTATATACTGTAGTATAATATGATATGGAAATAAAAGCCAGAATTATACTTTATTTTCTAATTATGCATACTATTCTAGTAACTACTACATATTATGTGTTAATATACTCGTAATAAGACATTAACACCAAGAAAACATTTCAGATGCTAAATAATAGATTCCAATATTTAAAATTCACTATAACTACCCAACAATAAAATAATACATCTAATAAGCAAAATGCAAAATTTTAACCAATTTTTTGAAGTAAAGTATACAAGGTCACATTGGAGAATAACAAGAGTATACGCTGTAATAACAGACAACGTTTGTTTGCGTTTCGTAAAATAGAATAGAAAATAAAACAACAGACAGATACAACAAGCGAAGAAACTAATGTTATTTTGTAATCAAGTTGATTAAATTCGAAGCAATATAACGGAAAGGCAATATTGTAAGTGGTGACCTATTAAAAATTGTTATAACTCTTTCTAAACATAATTACTAAGATCTTTTTTACCTCTATCAATTTGGAGAACAAGATTTGCTGCGTAACTTCAATAATGATAAACTATTACACATTATTAAATTGCTCGAGTTAAAAGACATTTTTCCTATAGGCAAACCATGTAAGTCTGGGTCTTTGTGTACAGGGTGACCAGGGAGCAGGGCAACGATCACTAAGGAGGCTATGAGAGGCAGACGTTTTGTCCTTACATATGTACATTTAACAACTCATGCCCTGGCCCTTGGTGTAGAATATAAGAATATCATTGATTATTATTATTTATAAGCAAACTTACAAATTACAATTTTGAACGTCAGACGACGTTAGAACTAAAACTGACTCATTTTGTATTCGGGTATTTTTATATTATATAAAAACTTAAATATAATACTATAGCGTATAGAAAAAATATTTCATGACCATATAAAGTAGTAAACCTTTGATTAATTATTATCTATCTTAGCTAGTACCTACAACATAATAGTTATATTACGTTTGATTTAAGCTGAGCTTAAATAAGTGAGTGCACGCGGATAGTGTAGTGTGATGTCAAATTTTTGAATGCCACGTTCTTTTTTAGTTTTAAACCGGTTTTTACTGCTTTTACTCCGCCCCGCACCTTCCGCACTTCACTCTTTGTACTGGTAGCAACGTCAAATGTTGAAATCGCAATGTCAAAGTGAAGAAGAATTTGCATAGTTTTTTCAAAATTTTTATTACCTACTTAATTTTTTCCCATAATATTTCCATTTACAAGTATTGTTTATTTCATTTTTAATCTAGAATATCTAGCACTTATATTATGTATCTTTTTAAAATATAATAAAATTGAATTCTCAATGTTTTTTGTCTAACTCTAGTTTTACTTTCACTTACACAAATGCAAAGCTCGGCTTAAGTCTAACGGACTATAGCCTCATTTTTGAACTTGAAAATTATTTATGGTGTTTGACAATCGGCAGGTGAAATAAAACTATCTGTAATAAGTATTTCTTTATTTCATTGATTGTATAGGCCATTCATATCACTACTTACTTATGAATTTACTTAACGTATGAATATACTGAACCAACAGCAAACTGTTCTGAAGTCAGGACCTTAAAAATATTCATTAAAGTCAATTTTAATATGTAGTAAAGAGTCTGCACACCAATATTAATGATTATTTCATTTAATATTTTTTCTCCAAAAGGTACAGTTCCTTATTTATGTCCCCAAGTAATTAATATTTTTACATCTTACACTGAAAGCTAATAAGAATATAAAACTATATTCTACTCTACTATACTACTACTATAGAAGTCGTATCCAGAAGCAAAATTACGAAACAATCAGATAATTTTAAATAAATAAAATGTTATTTTTCTTCAAATATAAATTGGAGTCTTATACATATATTTATATTTCACTTCTGCTCCATATGTCTTATTGACAGACAATAATTAAGGGTTATTACCTCAGTGAGGCCATATTGTTGATAGAACACGGATACAACAATATACTTCTAGCATACTCTGCCAGTTCTTATAATTTATTTGAATAATCTGTACACTAAAAATTATCATGTACTTATTTTAATTACATTAAGTTACTGCTTCATTTTACATTCATTGTATTGAATTAACAAAAATAAGAGAGGTAATAAAAAAATGTTGCTATGTGTATAAGTATTATATAAAAAAATATTTCAAAACGTATTTAGATCTTACCTAACAGTTTGTCACGGTGGTAAAGAATATCTGTTAAGTGTTATTGTTAACAATAAAGGTATATCTGTGATCAAGAACACACTTATTCTCAAAAGTATAATAAATTATCTAATTAATTTACTTCTAAATAAATACAATAATATTTTGATAAATAATATTCTAATAACACTGAAAATACAATTCTAACTTTTAGAATATAATTAAAGTAGCGCAAATTGCAAGAGCGTGATGAGAAGCGTTGTGACCACGTTGATCATATTCAGCATTGTTGAGGCATCCATATTCCACATATCATAAACCTCTATATGGGGTGGTTTTTCATTAATTAATTTTAACATTTTCTTCGCCTTATCTCTTAGTGGCCCTGCCAAATTCAAAACGTTTATGTTAAAAAAAATTTACGTGCGAATTACAAAAAAATATTTCATGAATATTTATAAAGTAGGCCTATCAAGTTAAGCTAAAACAAGGGGCAAGGTGATATAAATTGAAATAAGCTTAATATTTACTAGAATAAAATTTTAATGTTGTATATCTTCCAATTAATTATTCAGACTGGATTTGTATTTTTTCCTTAAGAGTAAATTAATAAGATTCACAAAAAAAACCTATTTTTACTTATGTTCTATATATGTCCTTAAAATTTAATTTCATTGCAAAAGCATACTGAATTGATCGTGTTTCAACAATGTATTGCAGTAACAAGTATGTTTACTCTGTTAGGTATTTATTTTATTTAGACTACAAACAATGCCTCGAAAGTATATAAAAGTCTTTGTTCATTAATGTTGTGTCTTTTTGTACAATTGTAGGTACATTGTGGTGGCTTAACCGATTAGTGTGGGTATTAAAAATAAAAATAAAACAATTGGTTTAATATTATTCACAACTTTTCATAAAATTATCTTCCAGTCTGCAATATAGTGTACGAAATTTACTGATCGTTTTAAATTTTATGAAATGCCATACCTTCGTGATATATTGACAAGAGCGTAGTAGAGAGTCGCTTAATATCTTGAATTTCTACGCTGAAAGCCTCACATCGAACACAAAATACAACAATCATCATAAGGTCCATGACTATCTGAGCGGGAAGAAGTATAAATTCTAACCAGCGCAGAATCTGAAAGTAATTATATTGTCATAAGTTGCACGAAAGGCCACTGAGCAAGTCTAACCATAAAAAAAAAGTTTAATAGATAAATTAATACCTACATTATTTTGCATCGCCAATAAAACAAATTCAAAAACCAGTAAAGCTGCTAGAACGAATTTGAAACAGAACAGTAAAACCTGTAATACAATTTATTTATTGCAGTTCTAGTATCGATTCCTAATTTTAAAGATATTAATGTAAAATAAGGCAAAGACGATTACCTGAAATCTGTATAATTCTTGAAATAGAGATATTATATCAAATACATCCTTTAAATATTCATCAGTTTCACTGATGTTAAGTTCGTGCATGTTTGCAACAACACAACGCATACGTTTTCTAGTAGGTAAGAAAAACTTGGAATTCATTTCTTTTGCAATTGGCAAGCCTTTCGAATGATTCCTCATAATGGCGTTAATGAAGCGAAGGCGAAGGCAAAAATATATAATAATATTAGAGCAAAATACCCATTCCATTAAACTAGTAAGGTGTAAGAACAAGAGACCAGAAAAGCTAACAAATATTTCACTACTATATATGAACACAATAGAAACAGCAATTAAGGTCATAACAATTAGAAATGCAACCGAACAAAGATTAACATTATATAAAAAAATGTTGCAGGGATTATTATCAGCAATTTTCAATTTGCGGTCTAGTTTTTGAGTCTGAATGTAGAATTTCACATTTCTCTCATTATTCATAAATCTAACGTGGATAATATTCAAAGCGTATATAGTGAAATTCAGGAGCGTAAACAAGACGCATATATAATATATGATTGGATAATCATAAAGTTGTGAGATATTATAACATATTATATAAACATGTAAAGTTGCAGCTAGGATTAAAAATATGACTGTATAAGCTTTTTGGCCCCATGTCGGTGCTGTAACAAATCTATCTCTTGCATCTATTCTACAGGACCCAAAAATTAATTGAAAAAAACGAAAAGGCGTAAACAATTTTAAATGGCCCTCGTCCAACAGATCGTCTGATAAGTATTCTGTTTTCATATTTTTCTCTTTGTTGTATTTTAAAGATAATAAATGAACAGCCACTTAACTTCATACGTCCTCTTATATCGGTCGGTAAAGAATATTATGTGATTAGTAGAGGTTTAAATTAAAATCCTTTACGAAATGAAATTGCAGGAGAACAATTACACTCGTTGTGATAATGACCAACACTTGCACAGGTAAACTAATGTTTAAACTTCAAAGTAAGCACGCCAAATGTAAAAACATAGCTAGCTTTATAAATGACAAACAATGTATGTTAGTCGTTGTATCTGTTTTTAAAAACAAAATACGAGGTTATGAAGTTATTATATTAAATGTGTCACATATTTTATGCATTATAATAAATCTAATATATGGATAACAATTTTTACAAATAAATTATTGAATTGCTCTTTCTATGTTGAAGATGTCCACGACACGAAACATCTAAAACATGTAGCAAGTAATTGTTAGTATGTAGCAATTAATTTATTTTCAATATTTTTTCTTAAATAAACAATGATAACAGTTAAAATTAATACAGTAAATTCCATCAGATTAATAATTCCATCAAATTAATAAGCAATTTATTTACGTAAATTCCAAGTAATCTAACGCAACGCTAATGTTATTTTTATGTTGTGTTTGAAATTAATAGTGATGAACAAACAACGATGTTTTAATTCATTTTGTATTAATGAAAAAAGGTACTGTCACAAAATAACATAAAAAATATAACTATAGGCACTACTGAAATGTCTTGAGTGAATGTAATAAAAACCTGTAAAGTGATGTATGAATTAGAAGACATAAGCTTCATCAAATAATAATGAAAGTTAGTGTTGCCCAAATGCAAGAACAAGACGAGACTTGGCCAGCCTTGGTATAGGTCTTGGATCAACAGGGTTGCGAAGCGGAAACCTCCCCGAGCGCCTGACTGTTACCAGTCCCTTACGGATCACGGTCCGGGGGGAAGGGTAGCAGCTGGGCCTGGTGCAACCTGGGCAACGACGGAGAACGATGTCTGGAGGGAGGCCAGGCTTCTTTCTCCGGCGCCTAATATCCGCAGGGGGGGGGGGAAGTTTTGCGGTCTGGTGCGTGGGATCGGGTACCGTGCGTCCGGACCGTGAGACTTAGGGAGACGCTGGCCGTGTGGCCGTAAGGCCTGGCTGGCGAGAGTGGGCCGGCCTTGTGGTCATTGGACTCTTGGCTGGCCGACGTGAAGGAGGCAGTGTATATAGGTGTACATAGTTTCTTAGTATAGGATTGTGTATATATATATGTAAATAGTTTGTAGGATTCATTCTCCCCTCTATTGAGGGGTGAATAGAACGAGTGTGTTTGTACATATTTAAATAGCACACATTAGGGAGCAGTGGCAAAAATACACAGCACTGGCAAAAATAAGAGAGCCGCGCGTCAACCATGACGCTGAGCGGCGGACGCACGTCAAAGCCCGGAGCAATGGTTACCCCAGTCACCGGACTTTGACTCATGCGGACAGGAGTGGGCCTTGGAGGTTTAGTGGGTAGTGGCCGAACGCCTTTAGGTCGAGCCCCACACACCCCCGTGTCACAAATTTGCCCAGGCACGGGAAGTCCGTAAATGGATTCCCCCAAGTAAAAAAAAAGGTCTTGGATCAACACACCTAGGCTTGGTCTTGGTCTTGCACTCCCAGTCTTGGTCTTGGTCTTGTTCTTGCAGCAAGAGTCTCGCAAGTCTTGCAATAACCTATTAGCCTGATGCTATTTATTAAACCTTACTTTAGATATTACAAAAATGCAACAATATTTTGAGCTTGAATTGACATAGACATGGTAAAGACCAACCAAATTAATAAATGTCTAAGCATTAACTGTGTCCCGCGGAAATCAGTTTGTTTCTTAATAAACTTTTATATTTAATGTTCAATAGAAATTGGCTATGTTGTAAACAAAATATCTGACCACGATTACTCCGCTCTTACGTACAATGGAAAATCAGTCCTGATAATAATAACACCTCAATGAACCCACCACTGGTTTTAAGAATTTTTTCACCATTAACCAAGAGTGTATATATGTATATGTATGTTTATTTTCTAAAATTATTTTGAGCACGAATCTTTTGCATATGGAAATTGACACGATCATTTTTTTATTTATCAAAATCTATTTGCTTTTGAAAAATTTGTGTGGTTCATAATAATTATACAATGAACTATTTTAATTTAACTATTAAAATATCTTGAAGAGTTCTGACATCACTAGTGGCATAGACAAGTCTTTGTCAATATCAGCTGATCACATTTGTTTAAAAGATTGCCTATTTCTATTGAAATGAACTATACTAAAATATGTTTTTTTAATTTACTTAAACATATAGAAAACAAAGTAATGACATTACCTTGGCCGTCTTTTAAAGGATATTATTATCTGTCTAGAAAGAGATTGCATGTTAGATCCTCACTTTATATGACAGTGGCGTGCACACTATTATTTGACTTTATTGAATCATTACCGAATAAAAAGAAAACGGAAACAAAGAAAAGGAAGATGACGGATGATACAAATGCACAGAAATCGTATACGGCAAGTCTTTCTGTTTGTTGAAAACAAATACGTTTGGCTGTTGCGCTCGTTGCGCTCTCGTTGCGCTCTCGACCATAGATAATACACTATATTAGAAATAGAACTACACTCTCGACGCACACTGACGAATTGGCCGCTTCATCGCGATAATCTTTTTGATGTACCGCCACCTGAGTTACGCCACGCCACTGTAATATGAAATAAAATAAAATAATTCTACAATTTACTGTATTTACCATTTATTTAAATAAAAATACAACAGAAATGAAAGTACCCTTACTTTATATTAACTCTATTGACCAAGAATTAATACAAAGTAACCATCTGGCTGACCATCGCTTAACCTATTTCTATGTTTTCTAATTACCAATGATACCTTAGAAAACAATCTCTCAGCAGATACTAAAGTTGCAGGTATTGAAAGAAAGTCACAGCCATCTTCGATAAAATCGGATATTCTGTTTCCTGAGTCCTCCACCAATCTAAAATGTCTTCTGAGCCGGCGGCTCTGGGTTTATTAAGGTACTCCTCTAACTCTTCAATACCTTGAAGACAAGATTCAGATTCATACGAGTATGAAGTGGAGGGACATGCATACAGTTTCTCAAAGTCTATAACATATTCATCTTCATCATATTCACATTTCACTTTCTTTTCATTTATTGATACTTTTAGAGACTTATTCACTGATTGTAGACATTTATACTCTTTATAAACATCGTTAAATTTGCGCAAGCTTTTGTTTTAATTTGCTTGCCCCAAAATGTCCTCGGGTCTAAAATCAAAGAGGTACAATAAATCCAGTTGCTTTTCTTATAATGTGTAAGCATTTTGTCTCTTGGAAACCCATAATAAGCCTTTCATCCACTTCGGATCGATTTGGTTCACATCTAATTGTTTCACCATGGATTCAATTTTATCGAGCAAGAGAATGAATGATACAATGACTAGCGGTAATGTCACATATTTTTCTCCACTAAGTTTCGTTGACAGAAGTTTAAAATTTATTAGAAACTTGTGTATTTTATCTAACATTTGTGTATTTCATCTAACATTTCAAATCATTCAATTCGGTGACAGAAGTGCACAATATGCTTATGCTAGTTCTCACTTTTAAACCAAATAAAATCATATCATAGATACTGCTGATATTTTCATTGAAGATAAAATGAAAATAGTTCAAGAATTTTCAGCTTGTATGTAGGGGATTAAGAATTGTACTAATGTGAAAGATGAAAGATATCGCATTTTCATGAAAAAATACTCTGCTAAAGAAGACAGTGACCAGTTTCTAAAAAAAATCAAGAAAAAGTAAAAAAACCTCTCAGTGACACATTCAATCGCGGCAACATTGCAGTATTTAAAAATCGACAACCCTTATTTAGGACTGATTTTTGTCAGGCAACCCTATACCACCGTCTTTATTATTTTTTATTTAAAATCTTTATTCCTGGCAACCCGAGAGTTGTGACTAGAAAAGAATAGACAGTTGCCTACGTTAGGATGTTAGGTTTAACGTTTTCATATTCTATGGACTCTATACTTTCGGTTGGTATGGAATTTATCTAATAGTCAAACTGGTGAAATATTGAAAAAAAATTTTTTTAAATTATTAATTTCTTACTCATATCCTGGACTAAAATTTATTAGGCAACCCATATGTAATTTATATTATTACCCGTATGTAATATATATGTAATAATTAATTATTGAGATATTAAATTGAATATAAAATATATGTAGTATTTCATCAATTAAGCATCTCGGTGAAGGTCGTTTTATATCGGGATCCTATACTAAAAGAATGATTCGTTATTTGGTAGGAATTAAATTCTAACACTTTTTTGATTATTATATGTTTAGACGAATTTGTGCTTAATCATATTTAACAAATAACTTGTGTTTATTGAAATAAAACCGATTTAACCACATAAGTAATATCATAGGAGCATAATGAAATATTTGTCTAAAAGTAACGAGTTTGAACATATTATAGTAGTATATAAAAATATTTTGTTGTGAGAATACCTGACAAAAAATATATTTTATTTTCAACTGGCTTCTGCCCGTGACTTTGTCCGCGTGAAATAGTGACTTCCGGCAAAAAAGTATAGATAGCTGTGCCCGCGATTCCGTCAGCGTGTAACTCCTTGTGTATTAAGTTAATGTATTGGTAATATTTATTGTTATTATTTATATTGGTAATATTGTTTAGAACATGAGGTTTAACCCTTTATAAGACACAGAACTTAAAAATATTTATTGGTTTTAAACTTTATAATAATGTGGTAAGGTTTAAATTCTGGTGGCAATATAAGTATCACTACCTTATAAAGGTAAGGTCAAGGTACCTATAGAACGAAAATACTTCAGTGCAAAGCTTCCGGGTACACTATATTGAAAGTTGAACCGTGGACATAAAGATTTCTAGAACTGCTAACACGGGAAAGACCAACCTACAATTGACTTCTAATACCTATTATATAAAATTACAAAAACACAAATCTAAAATAAACTATTCAAAGACTAAAAGTCTTGCTGATAAGCACGGTTTGCAAATAACAATTATTGTATTTAAATAAGGTCGAACAGTCTGAACGTCTATTCGCATAACCAGCCTAATATTGTAGGACGCTCGCGCGAGGACCCCCGCCTTTCTATATCTCCCGCCGCGACGCGCGTCGAGAGCAGCAACCGAAACACAAAAATATTCCTTATAGCATGACTGTGTAATCACGATTGATGACTTATTATTTCATGTGTAACTTTGGAGTTTCTACACTGATTTACATGATTTTTAATAATCTTAACTTTTTTAAATTAGGGATAAGTGATAGGGTTGTAAACGTTAGAATAGACAAATACAATCAGAAATCTCCGAATTGCTAAGCTATCGGGAGTTTCACGTGTTAATGTGAGTCAACCATAAAAGATAGATAAATGCTGTCGAGGAATACTTTTTATATAATTTTAAGGAAATATTTCCGTCATACATGATTTCTACGTAGCTTTAACCTACAAGCCTGCACACACAACAGAAGCTTAAGAAAATGGAGTAACTTCTCCTGTTTTCCCTATATTTCCCTTCACCGCTCTGCTCCTATTTATCGTAGCGTAATGAAAAGTATACTATAATCTGCCCAAGAGTATGTAGAATAATTGTGCCAAATTTCGTTAAAATCCGTCGAGAAGTTTTTGTTTCAGACAAACATTTTACTGATTGCATTTGTGGAATCAGTAGCGATCCCTAACCACCACTTGATAATTATTTTTTAATTATATTTTATGTATAGAATTATCCTCTCTACAGATTTATTATAAGTATAGATAGAGGATAAATCTAGTTTCAAAAGCGTTAATTTTTTAGAATTAGGTTTAATTAGTACATGACAACTTTATTGATTCCATTATTTTTATAAAATAAATTATAATAAAATAGAAAAAAAAATCATGTCTATTCGGCGGAAAACAATGGGAGCTACGACAAGTTGGATTTAAAAAATAAATAAAAGAGTGAGGATATTTTTATGTATTCTAAAACTTGCATAAAATCTTTATAT